AATTTGGTAAGCGCAGCAAACAAATTCTTCCGCTTACCGCTGTGGTGCAGCATCACCCATGAGTTTCTGTCTTTGCAGAAAACCCACAAAGGCTTACGCAGCCGCAACTCTTCTGCATGCTCCGCAATTTGTTTGATTCCAATTTCTCCCTGGTAAAACTGGACCTGTGGCGCAACTGAAGCAAAATAATTTGCAGCAGATGTAATTACTTCCAAATCACCCGGCTCAGTGGTGATTTTTGGTATATTTCCAATATTTGCCTTTATAAGGCTGCTATTTGCTTATATTGTCCCTGAGAATGCTGGTATGTGCGGAGCTTTTCCTCGGTGCAGCTTCTATGAGCGGAGATTTTCCCTTCACATGTTCCCATGTGCAGAAGTTTTCTTATATGACACTGCCAGGTGTGGGGATTTTCCCTCACTTTCCCTCAAAAGGCTTCCAGGGGCAGAGATTTTCCCTTGTAGGGAAGCAACGGTCGGAGTTTTTCCCTTGCGGGGCCGTTGGGTGCGGAGGTTTTACACTGTGGCACGACCGGCGGCGGAAAGTTTATTGTGTGGGGCCAATAGCTGCGGACATCTTACCTTGTTGGGCCGCCCGCTGCGGAGATTTTTCCTTGCGGGACCACCCGCCCGGTCCGGCCTACCGCCCCTTGGCGGGGGCGGTCGCGAGGGTCAACTCCCGCGCGCCCCCGCAAGGGTCAGCTCCCGCGTGCCCCCGCGAGGGTCAAGTCCCGCCCTTTCCGGGGGCCGGACGGCGCCCCGGGGCCCCCGCAGGGGCCAAATCCTGCTTCGGGCGGGGGCCGGGCGCCCCGTGTCCCCCGCAAGGGCCAAATCCCGCCCCGGGCGGCCCCGGGGCCCCCGCGTGGGCCAGATCCTGCTTGGGCCGGGGGCCGGGCGCCCCGAGGCCCCCGCAAGGTTCAAGTCCCGCCCTATGCGGGGGCGGCCGCGCGGGTCAAATCCCGCGCGCCCCCGCAAGGGTCAGATCCCGCCTCGGGCGGGGGCCGGGCGGCGCGGCGCCCCGAGGCCCCCGCAAGGGCCAAATCCTGCTCCGAAGGGCGGCCGGGCGCCCCGGGATCCCCGTAGAGGCCAAATCCCGCGCGCCGCCGCGCGGGTCAAATCCCGCCCCGGCCGGGCGGGGGCCGGGCGACGCCCCGGGGCCCCCTTAGGGGCCAGATACTGCTCCGGGCGGGGTCCGGCGCCCCGGGGCCCCCGAAAGGGCCAAATCCCGCCCTTGGCGGGGGCGGCCGCGAGGGTCAAATCCCGCGCGCCCCCGCCAGGGCCAAATCCTGCTTCGGGCGCGGGCCGGGCGCCCCGGGGCCCCCGCGAGGTGCGGCGTACCGCCCCCCCCCCCCCGCGCTAGCGAGGTGCGCGCGCGAAGCGCAGGGTGCAGGGCAGGCCCCCGCGCTAGCGCGGTGCGCTAGCGAGGTGCGGCGACCGCCCGGGCACCGGGGCCCGCGGCTCGCTGGCCCCGCGCGCGCAGAACTAGCGCGTTTTCGGGTCGGCCCCGGCGCGCGCCGCAAATTGCGGGGCATTGCGGTCTTCGGCACAAGACGCGCTCCCTTTTTAAAGCCCGGGGCCGAGGGGCCGCTCGGGGAGCCCGCCTGCCGCGGACCGCGCCCCATGGCGCGACCTTCTTTCTCAATTCTTAGGGGCCATTGCTGTCCCTGTTTTGAGAACATCATTCCGCCGCCCAATTTTCGTGCCGGCTTTAAGAGGCTCAATACCGAACGGCATTTCATTTTGACAAGGGTCCTTAGACGGCAGCGCGTCTCTGGGCCACTTAAAATATCGCGCGCCCCGATCGGGCGGGGCCTCCGCTGTTCTTCGCCCGAGGCACCAATCGTGCTGGCTTCGACCTGCTGCGTGGTTGGCTTCCAACACTGTGCCTCGATGTTCCCGTTTGTGTCTCGTTAATTTTTCTAGTCTCCGAAGTACTTACTAGCCTTGGCGCCACTTCTTCATGTAAGTCCCCAGGAAGCCACCTCGGCACGTCTCGTTTTGGAGCTGCTCCTTCATGGCGCTGCTTGTCGGACAGTCGATTGCCACGAGCTCTCGCTCGGTTGCGTGTGCCGCTGCGGCGCACCGTGCACTAGGTACAACACCCCGGCGTGAAGATTTTCGTCTTTGGTTGACCCCCACGACTGCACCGCATCGCCAGCAGCGCCGAACGATGTGGTGGGACCCCTCCCTGACCCGCAAAAATGGGAAGCCCGCCATTTCGAAAACGCAAGATCTGTACGTGTCCAAAGACATTCCGGTGGTCCTGCTGAAGGACGTTCCTAAATTAGGCGTGAAAGGCCAGATTGTTCACGTCCGGCGGGGCTATGCGCGCAACCTGCTGGTACCGTCCGGCGTCGCGGTGTACGGTGCTCTTTGGGAAAACGTCGACCGCTACGCCGACCCCGCCGTCATCTCGGCTGCCGAGGCCACGGCGCGTGCGATTGAAGCAGAGCAAGAGGCCCATCCCTTCGACTGGATTGACGAGTACATCATTCGGTTTTGTTTGTTCGCTCGGTGCTCAAGTCTACCTTCTTGCTGCCAGTTGTTTCTTTTTTCTACTTGGGTTGAATAAACACATCACTCCAACTGCAAATCGTAAATAGGCGTTCGTGTCCTCCCTGCTCGCCGAATAGCTATTTAAGTATTTATCACAGGATTTCCCTGCGTCTCGTGCGCACAGTGCGGAACCAGCAAACGGGCGCGCTGCAGGACCCGCTGACCGTCTGGGAATTTTTGAACATCCTGTCGCGCGACCACGAACTCGACCTTTTGCCTGAGAACCTGCTGGATCTCCGGGACCGAGGCGAACCACAGGGTGTTGTGCCGGACCCCGCGCTGGACCCGTTTCACCAGAGCGCCGCCGTGGAAAGTCCACAACCAGACGGGACTGCCCTCGCATCGGGGGAGCGGTTGCCGCTCGATGGTGGCGGCCCCGGCGGAATGCACGAGCCGTGCTACCAGCTACTAACCACCGCGGGCCGACACCTGGTCAACCTGGAGATTCCCTTCAAAGTGAAGGCCCGGCGGTACTGCATCGCGGTAGACATTGTGTCGCAGACCGAGGAGATGGCGGCGCTCCGGGCGCGGGAAGAAGAGCGCATCAAGAACCAGAAGCCGCAGTTCCTGGTGGGAATTCGCAGTGGCGAAACCATTGGCCGGCAGATGCAGATTGACTACGAGGAGCTTGAATGGCTCGAGGACGAGGGAGACAATGCCCGGGCGCGCTCTGGCCCGGGAGGGCGCTCTCGGCCGTAGTGGAAGAACGTCGTGATTGCTGCTACATGGTGTACATGCGCGAACAACAATTTTTCGCATTCAACTACACGACGTACCCTTGCTACGTGTACGTATTCACTTTTGCTACGGATGACACAGCACTTTTGGTCAGGTTCCTCAAGAGATCCAGATGATAATACAGTGTGGCTGTTTAATGCTAGAAAGACATTTCTGCAGCAAGACTACACACCCTGAGCATCGGTACCCTCGCCGTTTCCTCTGGTGCGCAGGCAAATCGTCGGTGGTGCTTTCTAGTACTCATCTGAACTGCCATGCCAGTTTTTTTTTCCACGTCAACACACACTGCTTGCCAAAAGTTTTGGACTACAAGAAGATCGAGCTTTTTGTTTTTTTTTTAACGCGTGAGACTGCTGCATTATTTCGGAACCGTAACGCTTGCACGAAAAATGTCTCACGCCGCCCTCTGGCTACGTACATATTTTTTTTGATGGCGAATTGATAATGACGATGACTTGATACAAAACTACGTATATCCCTAAAAATGCGCCGTTCGCACACCCACTCGCCGCTTCGCGACGCGCTCACCCGCGGGTGCTGCGCCGTCGGTTGGTTGTTAATACTTCACCCCTCCACCGCGGCGACTGCAACTCCTCCCGCATCCTCCGGGGAAGCAACGATGCAGGAAAACGAGAGCCCGACCGTCTTTCCGAAGGTTGCGGTGTGTCTCCGTGGGCTCGGGGGCGCGCGCGACGTATTTCATCGATGGCGGGAGCACGTGTTTCCAGCCTTTGGCGGGGATCCGGACGTGTACCTCGTAACCTCCATGTCACGAAAGCAGCTGGAAGAGGAGTTCTCGGCCCGGATACAGTGCCCACCGAACAAAAACGAGCCGCGCGCGCACTATCGCAGCACCTGGGCCTCGTCCACCGGGCCGAGGCCGCCGAAGCGGATCGGCGCAACCACAAAAAAGGTTGATCCCACGAAACAAAAATCGTCGCCGCACGAAACGCAACGGACCGCCTTTCTGGAAGCGTGCAGCACGACGGGGGATGCGGCCGGCACAGATGAGGGCTTCGTGTATATCATTTGTAAAAACGTCCCCACCCCATAGTTGTAATGCCATTCTGCATGCTGAAGATGTTTCTCATGCGGAGTACCATGAGAAGCGTTTTCTAGTCGTGTTTCGGAATTTGCCATGCTCCAATCAGCACGATGCGCTAGATTTGTGATGCTGGTAAAGTGCGAGCCCAAACCTGTCATGCGCAACAACCAAGCCCTGTGGATTTGTCTAGCAGATTTCCCACGTTGAGGACTATGGTGTGGGGACGTTTTTCCGTAGGATAGCGTACCTCAAGGACGCGTTGCTTGTACCGGAGTGGGAGGAGAATACGCATCGCAAAAAAGATGTCTTGGTCTGAAAGAGAGCGAGATCTGTCATGCGCATTTCGTATGGCGGCATGTTAACGTCCGTGATGCACGCCCTACCATCACAGTGACTTTATTTTGTGGGCTTCTTCTTGATGTTGCCTACCCGGCATGAGAAATGCTGCGTTCGCGTAGCGAAGACTGACTGCTATTGCTGCTCACGCAATACAACAGCTTGTTCTAAAAGCTTCCAACGCGAAAGCATTAGAATCCAGACTCATACATTATTTTGCATTTGATCCAAAACCTTTCGGAGCGGTTTTTCGACCGCGAGTCCCCGGGCTGGCGGGGGATCCACCTGGAGTACATGTGGCGCGAGGACTCGCAGCTCTGGGGCGCGCTGCCCATGCCCCTGGAGACGCGGGAGATGACCAACGCGGAGAAATGGCACTTCCAGTACCGGTTCGCGAAGACCAAGACCAGCAAAAATAACCGGCGAACGAATAAGGCCGTTGTGAACAGCGCCGCCACAACGGTGGTGCACAAGCCGGACGGCCGCGCGTACTTCATCAACGCGCACAGCATGCAGCTGCACGACATGTGGCGGTGCGCCGAAATACTGCGCGACCACGAGCGCTACAGCCGGTCCGGGGTAGAATACGAACACGTCGTGCTCAGTCGGTTGGACGTGACCTTTTTTGCGCCCCACGCGAATCTGCTGGGACTGCAGCAGCTTCATCCCTCGTCTCCGCCGATATTGCAAAAATCAGAAACGGCAGGTCGTGCGGCCGGCAAGAACACAAAGAACACGATTTCCCGAGCCCTGACGTTCCAAAATTTAGGCTACGACTACGAGCAGCCGCGCGCCAAAATTTTGCGGCCCTACAAGTACGGCTGCTTCATCCCGACCGGGTGGGACTGGACCCAGGGTCTCACGGACATCTTTAGCGTGTGCAGCCGCCAGGCGGCCGAGGTGTACATGCAAAGCCGCGTGCAGCTTCTGGGGCAGCCGGCGCTCGTGCAGCGGTGGATCCAGAACGGCATTCGCCGGCGGGGCATCTACAACCCGGAGATGCTGCTGCGCGACACGCTGCACCACTTCGGCGTGCCCGTCCAGCGGTACGACGCCGGCATCTTCCGCAGCTGCTACGACCAGCAGCCACTTACACAAGAACCGAATGCTGCCAGCACCGTGGTCGCGGGCGCCGCGGCGGCGGCAGCCGCGCACCCACGACCGCCCCTCGAGGACGGCGCTCTACTCGGGAGCGCGACCGCGCTGTACGACAAGGGGACCAATTACGCGGCGCGGTGCCGATATCTCCGCAAAGTCAACGCGTACGGAAAGTTCGAGCGGCCGCCGAAGACGAGAAAACCGCTGGACCACAGCGTCGCGCGCTACAGCGACTTGTTTTCCGCGACAACCAGCGAGGACTCCATCGACGCCGCCTTTCAGTACTTTCGCGCGAAGGTGGAGCTGTACGCGAACTATAAAATTCAGCCGTTCTACGTGTCGACGGCAAGGCACGACATCCACCGCGCGCACCGTCACTACACGCGTAACAACACGGCCGCGCCCGGGATGATCGGGTATACTGATGTTGAGATAGGAACAAGCAGCGATACGCATCGAGCAGGACCACCAGGTCGGGTGGGAGAAGATGGTGTGCCGGCTGAGGTCGTAAAACAAGCCCCGACGAGTCGTGTTGATGATGCGACGATGAACAATACGGAAATATTCTCCGAAAATGGTTCGGAATTAATGTCACCAGCTGGTACCGGCACAACGCAAAAGAACGCCGTTGACCTCGAAGACCCGAAATGGGTGCAGCACTGGCGGCGGTATGAACACGACTCCTGGCACGGGCCCTGCCGGGACGGACAGCAGCTGATGTCGGTCTATCACCGCAACGTCGCGGAACTGGACGCGAAGCGCGTGCTGTGGGCGAAGGCGGACCTGCGCCACTACGCGGCTACCCGAGAGGCAGAAAACGCGCTCGCCCTCGCAGCCGCGGGAGGTAGGGTGGAGGACGCAGATCATGGAATTCTTGGCGGCGGCCAAAGTGCTTCTAACATCGTGTCCACTTCCGCGACGACGAACGGCGCAGACAGCATAAGCTCCGCCACCGAAAAGGCGGGGGAGCAGTTACAGCTTGAGGACGAAGATCTGAATAGCCACGTCTACTACGAAGGAGTCTACGAGGTGCACCACACGAACGAGAAAATGATTGTGGACCATTTAAAGAAGCTGGACCCGGTGCTCCGGCTACTGGAAACCAACCACCCGGAGAAGCAGTGGCCCGGGCACCGGAACGGCGACTTCGGGGTCGGCGTTGACGGGTACCTCGTGCAGCGGGAGGCCATGACCAAGGACTCCAGCCGCCGCGCCGTCGCGTTCTGCCAGACCGCAAAGGAGGAGGAAACGGCGATCATGTACCAACTACGGGAACTGTCCGACAACCTCAACCACTACTACCACCACTACATGGACCAGGTTCCCTCGAAAGTCAGCCATTTCTTGGAAACGGTGTTTCCCTACTTCGATCTAAGCCGCGTCGACTTCGGGTCGCAGGGGTGAAGAACTGTTTTACTTATTCGTTGTGTAAATGCATCTTGATCTTCTTCGTTCTCGCTCTCGCAGGAGCGAAAGTGCCATGCGTTTTGTTCGAGCGCGTCGTCGGTTTGGGGATCATCGCGCACGTTGCGGCCCGCGTAGATCCGTTTCAGGGAGTAGTGTGTTCTTGCAAACACAAAGATGCTGTGGGTCGTCAGATGAACCAAGATGCTGCAAAGCGTCGAAAAATTTTGCAAGAAGGAGCTGGTGGCTCTGCGTGTGTTAAGTAAGATTAAACACATTTTGAATATAAAACTGGCTGATCAGAGTTTCCTAGGTTAAGCTTTGCTGGTTTGTTTTGCACAATGAGATCGGCACAACTTCCACTTCGCGCCGCTGGACGTGGAAAGAAGTTTTCCACGTGCAGCTGTAACGCTCGAGACAAGAAAAGCGTATAGGACTTTAGCAGAATCAAAAAGATTCCTACGTGTCGTGTTCATCTTCACGTTACGAAGACCGACTAATCTATTTCCCCTCTATCATCTTTGAAAAAAAAAGCAGATGGCGTCGACAACCCCGTCCGCTCCCGCGTCGGCGGCTCCGCATTTCTTGGAAGGCGATGCGACAAAGGTTGCCGCGGACCTGTTCGGGGTTGCGCTCCCCAGCGCGATCTTCCTGTCCCCCCTGCCGCTGTTCTACAACGCGTTCAAGCACCAAACGCCGGTAGACATGCCGCCCCTGGCGTTCACCGCCCAGTTCGCGCAATGCTGGTTGTGGTTCGTGTACGCGAACCTGAAGGACATCCCGTTTTTGATCGTAGCGAATGTGGTCGGCCTGTCGACCGCCGTGTTCTTATTCTGAGTAAAAGCGTCGCCACCCCAGAGTTGTCATGTAAATCTGCATGCCATAAAAGTTTCTCCTGCGGAGCCCCATGAGAAGCGTTTTGTAATTTGTGATGCTAGAATTAGCATGATATGCTAGATCTGTGATGCTGCTGGACTAGCTAAACAGGATTACACTAGGAGGACAGACTTGGCATGCGAAGCAACCAAAGCTGCTTGATCTGTCTAGGGAAAGCAGATTTCCCATCTTGATTCTGGTGTGGGGACGTTTTTACTTAGGATAGTTCTACGTGCTACTATACCCGTACTGCTGCAAACTCATCCTGCTCCTCGACCCGACCGACCTCCGCACGCCGTTGGCGGCCGGGAAGCCCGTCACGACCGACGCCGTGCAAGTAGAAGTCGTGGCCTCCAGGACGAGCCCCGACGCGGGCGCAGCGCCAGCACCGGGTGAGGCACAGGAACATGAGGACCGCGCATACGACGAGGGGGAACGGAAGGTGTCCGCCTACCTGGCGCAATACAAATGGCAAATGTTTGGCGCGGTTTTGGTCGGCGCGGTGACCACGTTCTTACTTTACAATAAGCCCTCAGTGCAGGCGCTTGGAATCGCATCTAGGTAAAGATAGATACAACAACTGGATGAACAGAATTCATCGCATGTTAGGAAGAACGTTTATATTTTTTTCTCAATACTATATAGCATCTATCGATCGTTGCGGCGCAGTGCTCTTCATCATGATTGCATATGGTCTTGATGTCATTTGTTTCGATCAACACTGACAATAAATGCAGCTCCTGGCTGGGCGAGACGGCGAAAGACAGCGGGATAGGCGGTTACATCGCAATGACGCTGGGGACGCTGCTTTTGATTCACCCCGTGTTCACCATGGTGGAAGCGCACGCTACCAAAAATGCAGACTTGATGGGTTCGTCGCTGATGAATGGAGTATACACCGCCTGCAACGTCGTGCTTCTCTCGCAAGGACTGTTCTTCAACTACAACCTGGCGCTGGCGATCCAGTCCGCCCTGGGGCTCTTCGCAAACATCACCGCACTTGCGGTGCGCGCGAGCATTCGCCCTGCTCCGGAGGTACTATCCGCCGCAGCAGACGGCGCCGGAGCGACTGGAACTCGGGAACAAGTGCGGAAGACGGACTAATTAGTGCTGCTCTGGAATACTTACAATGTGCGGGAAAAGGAGAAAGGGGCTAGGCCTACTTTTCGGGGTGACTGCTGCAGTCCACAGCACAACGGGCGGCCTTCTGCGTTACAACTGGCTGCGGATGATTCTACTCCGTTGATTGAACTGCGCAATCTCCAGTAGATGACATTGTAATGAACTCTCCACCTCCGATACAAAGACTATGTAGTTTCTGTTTCAGCATTGTTCTTCTAGTGACGGTTTGCAATCACGACAAAACCGCGACGCGGCGCAAGGTCTAAGCGATCCGCAGCTTATTTTTCAAAAACACAGTGTTCGAAATTCGTCCATGATCGAAAAGTTTTCCTTTTGAGCGCCGGTAAAAACTACTTTGCCATCAAATAGGAGACAGGCTGCTGTCAGCTTCTTTCTCATCGTCCTTTGACGTCATCTCACCGAGACTGACAATGAACGACGCTGCGAGTGTTTATGATAGGGGTGAAAGGGTTTAGTTTAGGGTTCCTATTTTGATCTTATCGTCTGTGGTAGAAATTCACATTTATTGTACACCGCAATACAACTCATGAACACCAACACGACCGCCTGGCGTGGTGGTATCACGCTTTACGACCTTCGATGCGTTTTACTTTCTTTCTAAAACCTCTACTTACTGAATTTGCTTTCTCATTGTCGCGACGCCGCGGCCCTAGTAATTCGAAGATGTTCTTGATGCTCTCTGAAGTAGAAGCTACGAGCGACTGCACCACAGCGGGAGCCGGACCTTTTGTGGGGCTATCGTAAAAACGACGGCGAGGGGGCGCGCTGCTGGTCGAAAGAAGTAGGACCACATCGAAGAAAACCAATTCCATGATCGAGCCATTTTTTCCGCTTCCTGGACAGCTAGAAGCGGACCTGGTTGCTGTCTGGGTTGAGTTTTTTGTGGTCCACAAGCGCGTACACGAAGCCGATGCACGTTTCGCGGTCAGGAAAGCCTGCGAAGCTGGGTACGTCCCCGAAAGCAGTCAGTTTGCCTTTCAGGTATAGAATTTTCTTTTTCCATTTCTTGCATAGTATGATTTTCATGGCGTGGATGAATTGCTAGCGGCTTGAAGGATGATGAAACGCGATGAGATCATCAAAAATCTTTTCACTCTCAACCTGATGTGTGTGTGTTTTTGTGATAGGGCATAGATACGACGTGAATTGAATGTGGGGGAAAAATTTCATCTTCACAACTTTTAGGTTCGACGAAACCTTCCCCTCGGGCTCGCGTCGTGCGCTCTGAATGATGAGGAAGTGGAGCAAGTCGCTCGGAGAGCACGCGACGTTGCGGCGGCGGCCGCCTCGGGCGGACCGGTTCCAAGAGCGCGGTCGGGCAGCACACCAACATCGGTTGGGACGGAAACGTATGATCAGCGTGCCGTCCCACCACCCATAGGCGCGGGGTATAGCCGTCGTCCGCGCAATGCGACGCCCCCATTTCAGCCTGGGCCCCGAGCGAGGACCTCGCAAGATTTATTTTCATCGAGTGCAGTTAGTACCCAGCCCTCTGGTGCACAACATCTCCAGCAATCGGACTTTCCGCGGTTCGGTAGGTCAGCGAAGGCGAGCGCCGCCGCCCCTACCTACGCAGAGAAGCTGAAGCAGCCAGACAAGCGCACGAGCCCGACGCAGCAAAGGCAAAATTTAGTGCAGGAGGAGACCTTTCCCGCGATGAGCGAAGCTGGTCCTGGGCCTGCCCGCGGTCACCAAACCGGTCGCAGTCGTGTTTCGTCCGGTGGTGCCTCGATGAGCAGCGGATATTCATCCGGGCATCAACCACCAGACGGCTCTCCGCAGTGGCATCAAACGCTGCTGAGCCCGGGACAATCGGCACGACCGGTGGTGGAGGATCTGCTAGATATTTTCAAAGAAAATTCTGGGTCGTCGACCCTCCCGTCCGATGCGCTGGTGCGGCTGTGGCAGACGGGGGCATCTACCACCTCCACGGTGGGCGCCGTGGGAAATAGTGGATCTTCTGATGCACGAGGACCCCAGCTGTCGCAGTTCTTTTTTTTAAAGAAGAAACCTCCGCGCTCCGGGACGAGCAAATCCACCACGCGCGACCACGCCTGGGTGTTCGAACTGTTGGAAGAGGTGCGGGCGAAAGACGCAACCAAGGCACAGCAAGTTTTCCAGCGGCTGCTGGAAGCCGCGGAGGGAAATTTAGAGGTGGTCACCGAACTGTGCAGGTGGAAAGGCTGGTGCGCAGGCGGCGCAAGCCCGACGTCGGTGCTTGAGGTGGTCGCGCAGCAACCGATTTTCTGGCGCAGCCAGAACCTCCCGCTGCACGAACTGCTCAACCTGGTGGAGAAAAAGGCGGAAATCGCACAGGACGGAGATAGTACCACAAATGCCTCGTCGCCTATGCGTCGCGGTCCGAACAACAAGTCATCTGCAGGGAACAAGATGAAAAAAGGCGTGAAGTGCCCCACGGTGTCCACTAAAGTTCGGCAAGTCGACCACTGTGCGGGCGCTGCGGAGGTGGAGCCGTTTGTCTTGGACGTACTGCAAAACGGTACGTGGCGGGACTACATCGCAACGCAGCTACGCACTTGGGCGGAACGACTTGCGACGATTGATTCTATGGACGAGGGTTCTTTTCAGTACAACACCATCGAGCGGTGGCACTACTGTTGCATCCAATGGCGGCCTCGCTACGCCAGGTCGGGCTCCAACGGGAGCAGTGACGAGGGCAGTGCGAGTGGGAGTAGTAATGCGTACCTGGGTCACGGCGCAGAACCAGAAGTAGAGGATGCCCCGGACATCATTTTTGAATCCTTGGGCTACGGCACGGACAAATTCGAAGCGGAGACGGTGGGCTACGCGCGCGTTCTGGAACAGCTCGGGTTGTGCCGGGACTTTTTGGACATCCGCAAGGCGCATCTGCAGAAGACTTTGGAGCAGGGCGTCCTGCACTTTCTGCCCGCGATTTTTTGGGAGCGCATCGTCCTCGCAAAGTGGTTCGAAGCGTGCCACCGGGGCTCCGAAGAGCGCCGCGCCGTCGCGACCGCGATCGGTAGCGCCGGGGAAGCCGCCATGCGCGCGCGGGGCTTGGAATTCTCCACGCCGGGCGATCTGCGGAAGCACGTCCTGACGGAGTTGGCGAGCAGTTCGCTGGACCGGGCTGCGGGAATCCCGGCTAGATTTCTTCCGGTGCAGCTGTACCAGCAGATGTGCGACGTGGTGCGCTACACCACGAAAACCGAGCGGGAGGCGGCCGAGATTCTGGAGACGCTGCTCTTGGATCTGGTGAAGGACAGCCGCAGCTGCGTGACGCGCGAACTGGGCGGGGCGGAGTACTACTGCCGGATGCTTGACTTGTCGCTCCTGGAGCGGTGCAGCCAGCTCGAGGCGGCGCGTGCGGAGGCGACGAGTAGCCTTGCAGCACTATGCCTTGCAAATTCGCCTGGCTTTCCTGGAGGGATGCAAACTTGTCATGGGTGCTGCGGGTCACACAAAAACTTGTCTTGCCTGCGTACCAAAACATGCACGTTTTTATTTGGGCATCGTGAGAGGCGATTTCTCATGCAGGAGAGGCAAAGGCATTGCGAAGGCCTGACAGTAGCTAGAATCTGTAGTGCGGAACCCTGCATCCCAGACTTCGCGATGCATGCAAAATTTGCATGAAAAACTCGAGCAGTCATCCAGAGGACCCAGACATATTTGCCCTGCATAGACAGTGGAGTCCAACCACAACGACACCGACGGCAAGATGTTATGAGAGTGCACAACTCTCCCTCCCCCTCATTTGTCATGCAAAATACCAACTCCAATCTCGGCCTCTAGGCACCGTTTGCATGACAGATTCTGGCAGTGGCCCAAACAGCACTACAATTTCGTGTGAATTTGGCATGCAAAACCAGCAGTCTTGCCGACACGTGTATTGCTGTATTTGCACTACAAATGAGGAGGAGGGGGAGTTGTGCGCTCTCATAGATAGCCCTACACGTCGACTTGCGGGTCTTCCTTCCAACAAAAGCACCGACGGATACTAGAAGGAGAAATAAATCTGCCACCAAGCAGGGCGGCGCGGCTGTGGAAGCGAAGAGCAGCGGTTCCTTTCAGGAGATTTTCCAGGTGCTCGGCACGCTGGTGCACGTCGAAGCAAACCATCCCTTTGGCCGCAGTGGCGGGCGGCCGGATCTGATCGCCCCCCGGTCGGGAATTTTCGAAATCGTAGGGCCGGCGGACTTAGATGAGGTGTTCGAGGAATACGTGTACACCAAAACCAATTTCTCCAGTACAATTTCAGCGAGTAGTACCAGCAGTCCGCGTAACACCTTCGAAGAGCGCCGTGTGATCCTGCTGGAGTACCGTCCGATGTACCCACTCGGCTTGGATCGCAGTTTGATTTACCTGGACTTTGCCGATACGGTGGTGGTGCGGCCGCTGCAGAACCTGGTTATGGTCGCCGAGCGGCGGCAGATGCGGGCGTTAGAGCGGCTCTGCCTCGAGGATTCTGACATTCACTTCAACCCGCTGCTACGCGAACAGATTCTTGTCCAGACTGGTACTAGTTCCTCCGGCAACATGAGCATTTCTGCTGCACCGTCGCGTTCCGAAGTAGAAACGCCCCGGCAGCTAAAGATGCACACTACCGCGCCGGATGGTGTTCTGGCTGCCCCGGCGCACAACCTCCACCCAAGGAGCACTGGCGCGGCCCAAGGGAGTAGACCTCCGGAAGAAGTTTTGTTCCCGGGGACTACTACAGCTGGCGCCGCATCCTCCAACAGCACGAAACCCAACTTGTACCGTGTGTCCAACGCAAGCGGTGCGAGCCGAGCCACCCGGGCCGCGCTGGCCCAGCAGTACTCCTCGCTGCGCACTTTTGAGGCCAAGCACGTGGCGCGGCCGCCCGACCGCGCGGACCAGCTGTCCAGCGGGCAGCTGCAAGCCGTGTTGGCGAGTCAAAACGCGCGCAACGGGGAGATCGTGCAGATCCGGGGGCCCCCGGGCACCGGGAAAACCTTCGTGGCGGCCGAGATCGTCTACAACTGGTACAAGTCCGACGTGCAAAACAGCCGGCGCGGCATCCTGGCCGTGGCCCAATCCAACGCGGCCGCGAACGTGATCGCCAAGTACCTGTGGGAGCGGAAGCTCCCGGTGCTCCGGGTCGGCACCAAGGAAGGCCCGAAAGCCTTCCATGCGAAGCGCGCGGAATGGCAAGCGTTTTTCCGCCAGAAGTCCGACGCCCGGGGGCAAGAGCTCTTGGCGCTCTTCACCAAGTGGTCCGCACTCCGCGACAAGTTTCTCGCGCTGCGGGACGAGCAGTGCTTTACGTTATACACGAGCGGCACTACTAGTAGCTCCTCGACAGGTAGGATGAACGTGGCGCTGAGCAAGTTTGTGTACGAGAAACTGCAGCCTGAGTACGCCAAGTGGTGGGCCGAGGAAGGGCGGGGAAGCGGGCGAAGGGCCGGCGGTCTCATCGGTGCAAGAGGTAGTAGCAGCATCACTCCAGTGCCCATGCGCGACGACGGCAGTGGTACAACCACGAGTAACATTGGCGCCCGGGAGCCGGGTTACGTCGAGTTGCGGGAGGTTCTGCGCAAGGTGCAGAACCGCTTGATTCAGCACGTCCTGATCGAGCATCCGCTGTTGCCAGTGATAACGACCAACGACGGCGCAGGACACGAACGGCTGCTCGAACTGTCCTCCAAGCGCTGGAAGAGCGAAAACAGGCCGCGGTTTGCGTCCGTCTTGATCGATGAGGCCGCCCAGTGCACGGAGCTGGCCACGCTGGTTCCGCTGCAGCACGGCCCGCAGCGCGTGGTGCTGATCGGGGACGAGCAGCAGCTGCCCGCCGTCCTCAAATCGGAACGGGCCAAAACCCTGTTCCAGGGAGCGCAGTCACTGTTTGAAAAGCGCGCCAAGCTAGTACAACAAACGGGCGGTCGTGCCGGAGGAGGAGCCGCAACATCAACCAGCCCGGCTCCGTCGCCCTTCCGTGGCGGCGTGCTGATTGGCACCAGGAGCACATCTTCACACCAGCAGCAAGGGTTAGTACAACTTCTGCAGCTGGACCGACAGCGGCGCATGCACAGCAGCATCGCGCTTTTTCCCAACACACAGATGTACGAGGAGCCGATCAGCAACGACGTCGGTGGGGACGAGCGGGTCTCGCGGCCCCCGCTCGCTGGCTGGGCGTGGCCGCCCTACGATGACGGCACGGGGGACTGCTTCCGCGTCGTTCTGGTGGATACCGATTTGGACGAGCAACAGCGCGAATTTGTCGAGACCACTGACGCCGTCACGAAAAGCAAGCGCAACACCGCGGAGGCGGACTTGACGATGATGACCGTGGTTTCCATGCTGCAGGCAAATCCGGATCTGCAGCCGGACGAGATCGGCGTCATCACGCCCTACGCGGAACAGAAGCGCACGCTCCTCGCTTCCGTGGCCCAGTACACCGGGGTGCTTCAACAAGCTTCGAGCGAGATGTTGAACTACAGCCCGAGTAGTTCTACTGCTGGTGGTGCAACCAGCACCGGGATGAAGCAGCGCGACCTGCGCGACGTGTTCATCGACACGGTGGACGGGTTTCAGGGGAACGAGCGGGAGCTGATTCTCCTTTCCCTCACGCGAACCGAGGGACCCGGGTTTCTCGTGGACTCGCGCCGCATCAACGTGGCGCTGTCGCGCGCCCGCCGCGGGCTGATCGTGTTCGGGTCGGGCCGGGTGCTCCGCGGGCTGGACGGCACCATCGCCCCGGGCGCGGAGGCGGCCAGTCGCATCCGCATGTGGCAGGAGTGGCATGCGTTCGTCACGCAAAACCGCGCGGTCTTCACGGTGAACGAGGCCGAGGAGATGCTGATGACTATCCTGAGCAGCAGCGGCGGCGGCCACGATTCGAAGAAGGCACGGGCGGTGCTCGCCCGCATTTCCCGGGAGCACGTGTGCCCGCGGTACGTGCCAACGCGGTTCGTGAACATCCGCGACGAGACCCGGGACGGCGGGAAGGAGCGTGCCCGTGTCCTGGGAGACGTCGTGCGGAGCGAGCTTCGCTTGCTGACCGCCGCGGAGTGGCAGGACATCCGATACGTCTTTGTGGACAGCGGGAACGTGTTGCATTTCGGCGACGAGGACGCGATGGTGGCCGCCGGGGCGTCGTCAATAACCCCACCGGCGGCGGGCCCGACAACACCCTTCGGGGGTGGTGGTGTCGTGCTGTCTCAGACCCTGGCCGAGCGCGCGCAGCTGCACTTCGGCTGGTTAGCGGAAGCGCTCGCGGAAAAGTGCCCCAACGCCCGCGTGAAGATGCCCATCGTCCGCTGGAAGTGGGAGAAGATCCAGGGCCGGTGCAAGGAGCTGTTGGTCGGACGGCACCGCTGGAAGGTACACCCGGTGGACCAGGACATTGACGCGTTTCTGCTGCAGAACTGCCACGACGTGATGGCCGCGCAGGGGGTTTCCGTGAAGCAGGTCTGCATCGTCTCCAACGACAAATTCCTCAAGGAGGCGGAGTCCTTTCGACACCTCCCGCTCGCACAATTGCGTGTCCCCTTCACGATCGATGAAGATTCCCAACGTGTCTATCTCGAGGACAAACGGACAACTGCATGACCCATTTTCATTTCGGAACATCACGGAGTGAATTTCATTTTCAATGTAGGTTCGAAGAACACGACCACTTTTACAGCTTGGACTAAAGTAGAAGTAGATTGTCCTCGACCTCGTCGAGTTTTGGACGCCACATTACTTGTGTTCTCTGTGTGCGTTGCGTTGTGCTTTGTGGGAAGCGTCGATCGGGATGTTGTGCCAGGTCTATCACTTTGGTTTCGCCTAGTACTACACCTGGCAGATTCAGAGAAGGCGAAATGTACTTTAGTAGTCGGGCATGATCTGTGGGGGACCGGGGTATGGGGATCCGGCTGCCTCGGTTGCATTGGGGGCCATTTTGAGCGCCAAAGTGGACTCCGACTGTACAGCCGGGGTCCTTCGGCTACCTCGTTTGCATTGCGGGGTCATTTTGGGCAAAAAGTGGCCCGCTTGCTGCCCAAAGGGGGGTCGTTTCGCCATTTTGAGGCCCAAAGTGGCCTCCGACTGCACAGCCGAGGTCCCCCGGCTGCGTCGTTTGCGTTCGGGCTGCGTGCTAGATCTAGATGGCTGGCGGGTCTGACCGGCCAGCCATTTTGCATGCCCTCCTTTAAAGGAGGAGCGCGAGCCAGATGGCTGGCAGGTCTGACCTGCCAGCCATTTTGCATCCCCTCCTCTAAAGGGGGAGCGCGTGCCAGATGGCTGGCAGGTCTGACCTGCCAGCCATTTTGCATCCCCACCTCTGAAGGAGGAGCGCGTGCCAGATGGCTGGCAGGTCTGACCTGCCAGCCATTTTGCATCCCCACCTCTGAAGGATGAGCGCGTGCCAGATGGCTGGCAGGTCGGACCTCCAACTGGACAAACCGGGCTGTCCGGCGGCCCGGTTTGTGAGTTGGGCGTATTTTGGGCCCGGTCACGACAGCCCCGTGTGGACCGGGCAGACGGCCAGCAGATCTTTCGCGAAATTTCAAAAATTCATTTTTATCGTACAGGGAAATCCGCGAAATTTCGAAAATTTATTTTTATTGCCTACTATTACGAAAGGCAATGCTGATACTATTGGCGTGGGGGCTTGCCACCACAGCCGCTGTGGTGGCAAGCTGCGTCACCACACCTGGCTGTGGTGACAGGTGTGGTGACGAGCTGCGTCACCACACCTGGCTGTGGCGACAGGTGTGGTGACAAGCTGCGTCACCACACCTGGCTGTGGTGACAGGTGTGGTGGCAAGCCGTGTCGCCACAGCTGGCTCTGGTGACAGGTGTGGTGACAATCCCTATCACCACACCTGGCTGCGGTGACAGGCGTGGTGACAAGCTGCGTCACCACACCTGGCTGTGGTGACAGATGTGGTGACAAGCTGCGTCACCACACTCGGCTGTGGTGACAGGTGTGATGACAAGCTGCGTCACCACACTTGGCTGTGGTGACAGGTGTGGTGACATTGCCTGGCACCACAACCGGCTGTGGTGACAGGTGTGGTGACAAGCCCTGTCACGACAACCGGCTGTGGTGACAGGTGTGGTGACAAGCTGCGTCGCCACACCTGGCTGTGGTGACAGGTGTTGTGACGAGCTGCGTCACCACACCTGGCTGTGGTGACAGGTGTGGTGATAAGCTGCGTCACCACACCTGGCTGTGGTGACAGGTGTGGTGACAAGCCGTGTCACCACACCTGGCTGTGGTGACAGGTGTGGTGACAAGCTGCGTCACCACACCTGGCTGTCACAGGTGTGGTGACAAGGTGCGTCACCACATCTAGCTGTGGCAACAGGTGTGGCGGCAAGCTGCGTCGCCACGAGTTTGCGCCTCCCTCTCGTTTTCGCAGGCAATAAAAATAAACATTTGAAATTTCGCGGATTTTCCTTTACGATTAAAATTAATTTTTGAAATTTCGCGACAGATATTGCCGTCGGCCCTGCCACCAGGCCGGGCTGTGGTGACAGGTGTGATGGCAAGCCCCCGTGTCACCACACCTGGCTGTGGCGACAGGTGCGGTGACAAGCCGTGCCACCACACCTGGCTGCGGTGACAGGTGTGGTGACAATCCCTGTCACCACACCTGGTTGCGGTGACAGGCGTGGTGACAAGCTGCGTCACCACACCTGGCTGTGGTGACAGATGTGGTGACAAGCTGCGTCGCCACACCTGGTTGTGGTGACAGGTGTGGTGACAAGCTGCGTCACCACACCTGGCTGTGGTGACAGGTGTGGTGACAAGTGTGGTGACAAGCTGCGTCACCACACTTGGCTGTGGTGACAGGTGTGGTGACAATCCCTGGCACCACAACCGGCTGTGGTGACAGGTGTGGTGACAAGCCCTGTCACCACGACCGGCTGTGGTGACAGGTGTGGTGACAAGCTGCGTCACCACACCTGGCTGTGGTGACAGCTGTGGTGACGAGCTGCGTCACCACACCTGGCTGTGGTGACAGGTGTGGTGACGAGCTGCGTCACCACACCTGGCTGTGGCGACAGGTGTGGTGACAAGCGGCGTCACCACACCTGGCTGTGGTGACAGGTGTGGTGACAAGCCGTGTCACCACACCTGGCTGTGGTGACAGGTGTGGTGACAAGCCCTGTCACCACACCTGGCTGCGGTGACACGTGTGGTGACAAGCCCTGTCACCACACCTGGCTGTGGTGACAGGGGTGGTGACAAGCTGCGTCACCACACCTGGCTGCGGTGACACGTGTGGTGACAAGTCCTGTCACCATACCTGGCTGTGGTGACAGGTGTGGTGACAAGCTGCGTCACCACACATGGCTGTGACAGGTGTGGTGACAAGGTGCGTCACCACATCTAGCTGTGGCAACAGGTGTGGCGACAAGCTGCGTCGCCACGAGTTTGCGCTTCCCTCTCGTTTTCGCAGGCAATAAAAATGAATTTTTGAACTTTCGCGGATTTTCCTCAACGATAAAAATAAATTTTTGAAATTTCGCCATCACACCTGTCACCACAGCGCGGCTTGGTGGCGGGGCAGACGGCCAGATGTGTCGCGAAATTTCAAAAAGTCATTTTTATCGTAGAGGAAAGTCTCTGGCTTGTCGCACCACATCTGGGTGTGATGACAAGCCCTGTCAGCCACTCAGATGTGGTGACAGGGCTTGTCATCACAGCCAGGTAAAAGAGGGCTATCACCACAGCCAGGTGTGGTGACGTAGCTTGTCACCACACCTGCCACCACAGCCAGGTGTGGTGACACAGCTTGTCATCACACCTATCACCACAGCCTAGAAAAGTGGGGGCGCCCGGCCCGCGTCGCCTGCTCTCATGAGCAGGGCGAGGGCGCGATGGGGCGGGCCGCCATCGTGCTAGGCAAGTGCTTCGGAGGGGCCCTTTGTTCGCCCCGCCTTTTGCGCCGCATAGCATCGGGCAAGTGTTTCGCACAAGCCTAGAAAAGTGGGGCCGCCCGGGCGTCGTCGCCTGCC